TATCGTGACTTAAATGGTAAGTAGTTTGCTGGGTGGCGTACGAGACAATAGGGTAGTTTACATCTAGTGAGATTAGAGGATTTGTAAGTATTTGGGTCTACCAATTCCTAGAGTATAGGGTTGGGGTTGGACTTGGACTTGGTCCCATAATTTTTTGCTCCAGTTGGGATTTTTCACATAAAAAATGGATGTGTCTATCTTGCATGATTGTTTACTTTTATACTATGATTTTATGCTTTTGTGGGGAATGTTAGTTTAGGTCAAGATAAAATTTGAATTTATTGATCAATTGACAAAGGACCTATTCACCTCCCTTTATGTTGATTTAGGGTTTACTAAGACATCGTTCCACACAATCTCTCTCTCTCTCTCACCTTGTCATCCAGGCTGGATTGTTGTGGAAGGTTGACACCATTAGCTTGACAAACTGGGAGGCATGGATCCTTTATGTCAAACCTGATTTATTATTTTTGTACATTTTTTTGGATGACATTAATGTATTTTTTTATGAAATTGTGCCTAACTTTAGTGAAAAGTATTGATTGATTGTTGAGTTTGTTATGAAATTAAGCCAAAATAAAACTAAAATTGAGCCATTAATTGAGTTGGATCGGATTTCCTATTGTTATTGGATTCGGACATGGACATAAAAAACCAAATCCGTCGGATAAATGGATGGGTTTCATAATTTGAATTTTTTTATCAGATTTGGCTTTAGCATCGGTGTAGATCCAGTCTGAATTTGATTCATTGACAGATCTACTAAAGAATAATGAAACTTGATTGGACTGGTCTAAATCCAACTTAAATCAGTTTGTGTTGACCTGAACCGCGTTGAATCTGACTTCTTTTCCTGGATCATACTTGAACCTGGATCCAAGTATCCAAATTGCGTGAAGCGACCCAAATCAAAATAGGATATCCAAAATCAGAACAAGGATATCTTATTCAGGAAGTAAGGGTTAACTAAAACCCATAAGATGCTGCTTTCCCCTGTAACAAAATTAGGGTTCTCCTTTCAAATCAACCCTAAGTTTGATTTGTGGGGATGACGAGATCGATTCCCTGCTCCGATTGCACCAAAAAGCCACCAAACCACAACAAATCAAACCACAATCACCATGAAATACATAACACTTCCACCATTTGATCGCACTGTGAGTAGGGATGATGATGATGAAGATGGCAATGAATGAATGATACAAAACTACATGATCCCATGAGTCCATAGAAACTCTGCTCAGTGGCTGATCAGTTGATCAGCTGCAGCAATGAGCACAACCAGTAAAGGGGAGAGGGAATAGGGCAGATTAGGTCCAGATTGCTCTAATACCATGCAACAGAATAAGAGTTAGGGTAGAGAGAGAGAGAGAGCATGTGTGTAGGTTGCATCTTGGCCTCGACACTCATATATACATAGTTATCAGAACTGGACCTGACATCAACTCGACAAAGAGATCAGGTCAATGGGTCACTAGTTTAACCATTGAGTCAACTACTCGGACCGGTAGTATAATAAAGAAACAAAAATATTTATTAATTAAAAAATATGCTGAAAAATCTTAATAATTATAAAAATTACATGTTTTATTATACGTCAATCAAAATACAAAAACAAAGCATCACAGTTTAATGTAGAGCAAAGATGCAAGAACAAAATTGCGCATCACAGCTAATGAAGAGGAAAATTGTCCATCACAGTATAAAAAAAAACACTTGAAGTTGAAAAAAAATAAACCCAACTCAAAAAATAACAGAACCCGTATTTCAAATTTCAACTCCTATTCCCAACTATTTTAGCTTTTAACTGCACAACATAGTTGTCAAATTGGGATTCGTATTGTGAATCAGAATCCTAAATTTGAGAATCTTGAATCATAAGATTCGACACAAAAATTTGGACAAAAATAAAAAAAATATCTACGTATTAAAAATAGACACGATATTGAATATTGAACATTATTTCATTCTAAAAATAATCAAATGACATAATCACTACATCTAAATGGAAAGATGCTAGCCTTTTGCTTTACTTCATCTTTTGTTTAACCATTTTCAAATTCAACAATTTGAAAAAAAAAATCATTAAAGAATCATGACTATTCAAGAACCAAAATAGTGACACCTAATATAAATTAGGTTAAAAACATGAATGAAAAAAAAACAAATAAGAAAATTAATTAGAAGAAAAAATACAGACAACATTTTGAAATAAAAAATTAGGATCTAACAAACCACCTATAAAAGAATTAAGGGAAAAAATTAAAGTTTATTCTGAAATATGGTGACAGGAGATAGAAAAATCCAATGTAAAGAAAAGAAGAAAAAGGGCATGCTTGGGTTTGCTTATTGTTAAGAAAAAAGAAGAGGAGCAGGAGATATACCTTCAGTCAATTATTCGAGAGATTTAGCCGTGACCTTTAGTTTCAGACAACACAAGGCGAGCTTTAGACGACTCGAGAGAAAACGAGTAATGAGGCCGAGCTTTTATTAGAGCTTGAGTTTCTCTACAAACAAAACGATGTCATTTTATTGTTTAGTGGACAAAACGACGTCGATTTGCTGAAAATTTGGCTTTTAAAAAAAAGTGGCTGAATTGAAAGGCTTGTGCAATAAGAATTGTTTTGTGTTTGTATCAAACCAAATCGTACGATTCGAATTGCGAATTATACGATTTTGATCACTATACTACAAGGCACAACCCCAAATTAAAAACATTAATTAATAAATGAAGTTTGATAATTTTAGGTAATATTGAGGTGAGATAAATGAGCAAGAAGAGGTATGCCTATGGGAGACGATGAGACCATGAGAGAGATGAACTCGCCTGTTGCTTGATGTGAGAGAGAGAGAGAGAGAGAGAGGACTGCCTGAAAAATGTTGACTAAGAGTGAGCTGAGTCAAAGATAAATTGTGAGACAAATAGTGAGCAATGAGCCTGAGAGTTGTGAGAGGATGAGTTGTCGATCGTGAGAATTGCTTGACATTGAGCACATATGGAGTGAGAGAGAGAAGATCTAGAGGATTGGACAACAAAGGTGAGCCGTGAGAAAGGACTTAGACTCTCCTGGACTGAAGAAAGAAGGCGGCGGTGACTGGTGAGGCAGCTTGTGACTTGCGATGAAGATGGTCGATTGTGATGTTAGGGCACAAAATGCCGAAAAAAATCTGTTTTTATACAAATACAATGAACCGTCTGGTTTAATATCTACCCGTATTAGCCTTTTTTTATAAAAACCGCCCAGTTCCTCCGGTTCTTAGGCGGTTCACATGCTTATCTGATCTAATTGCTTACCCAGACCAGTGTAGTGTAGGGTCTAGTTCACCCGTTTCCCAGGTTGACCCACCGGTCCTGTCCGGTTTTAATAACTATGCATATATATAGTGGGGGCTGTGCACAAACAGTATTCATGCACAGATGAAAAAATGAGAAAAAATTGGAAGAGATTAGATAGATTTATATAGGGTGGTTATGGGAGTTAAGGGTGTAGTTAAGTTGCAGTTGATCATGCAATTGAAAAGAAAGTTATGTATGATTAAAGTGAATAAGAAGAAGGATATTATAGTCATTTCTTAGGTGGACACCACAACCATCCTCTCTTTTCATATGTATGCACCCAAACCAAAAATGACCAATATGCCCCTTTGGGGTACACTTATTATAAATGGCACTCAATCACTAATGCACTCAACAGTTTTCAATCTTTTTCTTTTTTTCCTCCCTTAACCTTATTATTTACAATTGTGGAGGGATATCTTACGTTGGAATTGCCGAACATGCAAGCAAATGTATTAAGTGCCTTTAATATACTTGAAGACAGAGTCAGTTTATACTTTCTACAGATTAAATGATCTTGTTACCAAATTTGGCTGTTTTGCCATCTAACTTTGTGCATGTCAACATAATAATTACTAAAGAATTGCCATTGCGAAAAATCTGATTCTCCACTTGCAAGAAGCAAATTTCATGGTTTTGGCTGACACACTTGGTGCACTCTCAATCCTTATCTTTTAAATTGGTTGATGGTCAGTTTGTATCCCACTACATTGGTGCCATGAAACATGGGATCAGAGAGGATCAGGTGTTGAACTTGCCAGTCTTTATCCACTTGAACTCCTTCTGAGTGGCATGTTTTGGCAAGCCCACATTACTAACATGTTCATCCCATTTACATAATGCTTGCAAAACAAAAAACTGATTTCAATGTCAGTAACTCTCTAAATAGTTAACCCATATTTGTCAAATGGAAAACCAGTATCCGTTCCAAACTCATGCTTTTTCCATATTTAATTTGATGCACATCTCCCATGTTTGCTGTTCTATGAGCACCTCTTTTTGGTTCATCATGTATTTATATATATATTTTATCTAAACCCTTTTATTTCTTATGTTTGCTCAGGAGAGTTTTAAAGGACAATTATTAGCATCTGGCAGCAGTAGTCGGCAGCCTGGCCGGAAGCAATTTGTAGATGCAACAAGCTTGAGTAACTCCAAAAGTACTGAGGCATCCACAAGCATATCTGTTGATGATCTTTGTTCTGTTGATTCAGCCTTCATGCCTTCCACTTCAACGGCAGCTGATGTAAGACTTATAACTTTGTGAAAATCTCTGCGGCTTTGGTTACGAAAATATGTTGTAGGGGAAGCAAAAAATCTGATCAACTAAGTTCTAGACTGTTACATGTTTTTTCATTGAGCTTTCTCAACCCCTTGCTTTTAGGAGACATGATAGTGAAGCTCTCTTTGAAAAGATTTTAAGCTTTCCTTCAACAAAACTAATCATGATATTTTGGAAGTTTAATAATAAAAAAAAATCGAGAAGCTATGTTAGAACATTGCTTCCCAAGTTTGAATTAACTGATTACTTTCTTTTTATCTTATAGTTTTCTTCCTTGGAATCATTCCCAGAACGTTATTAGCAACCAGTGCGACCTGTGGTTTGACATAATCATGGCATTTACCAGAGCAATCCCTTCATTTTGGTATGTGTTTTGCAGGTGATGGATTATCCTAAACATCCCTCAGTTTCATCTTCCACTTTGGTAGAATTAACAACTCGTCTTGACTTCTTCAAGGAACGCCGCTCTCAACTGATGGAACAACTCCACAGTCTCGATCTAAACTATGGGACAGCACCTTCACAAGATTTTGTGTATAAAGCGTCATCACCCTCATGGAACTGACCGGAGATGGTGCCTATCAAAGCGAGTTAGCTGGCATCTTGCCATTTGTATATCCTGTGTATCATATAGTTTCATCCCCTTGTAATCCCATGTACTCCATCTGAATGTTTTTTCTGCCTCATTTAACATATCTATTTGTACTCTGAGAGTTCCAAGTCACCTGTCTGGGGAATTGTTCGTTGTTCTTTCATTATTTGTTTCACGGACTTGTAACATAGTGAGCGTTTTCATTTTGGTTGTGTAAAATAGTAGGTGAGGGGTTTAGTTGAAAACTGCTTGGGGGGAACATGCTTCATTCTTTTTGAAATGTACTGTCGTGAGCAGCTACTAGTGTAAGATGAAAATTCGTATCTATAAAATAGTGTTGGTATGTGCAACAGATGAGTGATTAAGAGCATTTTTAATCATAACTCAAATTTGAGTCGAAGTGTTTTTTATGAAAACTTCCGGGAACAAAACCACCCCCCATAAAAAAAAAAAAAAAAAAGAAGGAAACGACCTTCTGGCTTCTGGGAACAATGTGTTCGATTCTATTTGAAAGTTTGTGTGCCTATCAAATTTTGATAGAAAACATAACTACAAATTCATAGAAAGATGCAAATTTACGTACTTTTTTTATCTTCAATAGAATTCTTTCGCATGTCAATGAATAATTTGAGATACATTTGACAAATCTCTTTAGTTAAATAATTTAATGAATTGTCAATATAAAGACTGTTTAAATTTAAATTAAATGTTTATGGATTAAATCAATAAAAATAATATAATGGGAATAAACTAATAAAAATAACATAAAGAGTCTAAGAAGGAGCTTGCGATTGTGAAGACCAAAAAGACGCAAAGCCAAACATAAAGGGGGATCGGGCAGGTGGGTCCCATTGCAATGTGGACGAATCAGAAATCGGAGTCGGCCCTGGGCTAGAAAGCCTCATCCACAAGCCATTCTGTCTGTCTCTCTCTGTGGGAGGTATATACACACACGCATGTGTGTGTTTGCGTGCGCGTGTGTATAGTTTGTGAATTTTCTCTTCATCTTCTGTTTCTGTTTTATGGATCAGAGGCTCAAAGCTTGATTGTTTTCTCGAGAATTTGATTTGTGTCCTGATTAATGAATACGCTAAGGTACGTACGTTCAACTTCAGGGTTTTTCTTTATTTTTTGAGTTGGTTTTATACTTTTTTGATATATGTATATGTGATTGCCCAAACTGTTGGATTTTGTTTTTTCGCAGTCTCAGTGTGTTGAATTGGAGTCTCATATTGTGTTTTAGTGTATCGTTTTTTCGTTGCTTGAGTGTTTTGATCTTAGTGTTTTGATGTTATGCTCTGTTTGGTTCTAAAAACAAGATGGGGAGTGTTTGCTTTGGATTTCCAGTTGTAGTCTTGTTCATACATAGATAGAGTGGTGTTCTTTTGCTGCTGTTGATCGTAACCATGTTTGTTAGATGATGTTGGACAGCTGTTTTAAGAAGATGAGCTCAGAAAATACATGGGAAAGGAAAAAGGAAATTGGATTCGAAATTATTTTTCTTTTCTTTGTACCCATTGGAAAACAAGATAGAAATGTTAAATTATATGATTCCGTATATTCTTATCAATTCCCAACTCTATTTGGGTTTTCGTTTCTAATTTTGTGAAATATTAAGGATATCATCTTCCTACGTTTTTTTTTTCTGTACCATTCTTTTTTCCTTATTGAACCTTTTAAACAAAATGATCTAGAAGAAACAGTACACAAAATTTATATCAGATTTCTTTTGGGGTTGCAGAAGAAGTTCTCTAATCTCGTTAAAGAGTTTGATAGATTATGTAGTGGATAAGTCCCCATTCTGTTGTCATGTCTTTGCTTGTTAGGAATTCAGAAAGGAAACTAAGGTCGTTGTGTAGTATAAAAAACATGGCTTTCTACTTATAAGTAGGGTCTAGTTTTTAAGGCAAAAAAAACTAGACTAGTTTTATTGCTAAGGGGATTCGAAGGGGAGACCTCATTAAAGAGTTTAGGAGTCTATTTCCTTGTTTTCTATTTTGGTTTGAAAACTCAGAGAACATCTAAATGATGTTTTCTCTAGTTTTTGTTTTCATTTCACTTTTTTTGAAAATTTATTTTTAGAAAATGCTAACCAATTAGCATCTCACAAGATTTTATATTTTGAGAACAAAAATTTGGTTTTGAGGCACAAACCGAACACCACCCTAGTGTTGAAGACTAGACCAAGTTTTTATGAAAGGTTATAGGAGATCTTTGCAAATGACAATTATCATATCTCATGCATTTAAAAAACTTGGCTTTAAATCTAAGTTTGTATGGAAGTGTCCAAAGAAAAGAATTTCCGAATACTGCTGAAACTGATGGTGGTAATGAGAAAGCGGTCTAGGTCAATCACCGTTGAGCTTCCATGAAATCTTATGAAGTGCTCCTGTTATTGAATCTTTGTTGCTCATCATGGAATTGTGTCAAGACATTTAAATCTAACTAAGGTCTCAAACCTAAAAAAAGAGTAAGTTGGATTCTAAGGAGAATTCAAACGATTGGATTATGGTATTAGGAGCTTTACTAGGTAAGAAGAAATATTATTTCGAGTAAAATGGATGAAAGCCAAGATATAACCTAAGAAGCATGGACATTTCATTTTGGTCACTGTCGATGTCGAACATGTCTGGGACACAAATACCCTTCGATCTCACTAAAATGAGTGTTTGATTTTTTTATTACTATAATTTTTTTGACATATGTCTGACACGTTGGGGACACGTTCAGATTTTGTTTTTTCAAATTTTTAGAAACTTCTCAACAAACTTTATAATAAGGAAATTACTTTTGTAATTTTAAAAAAATATGGGTCAAAGATATAATATAAAAATAGTTATAATCACTACATAGACATAGGACACCAATATAAACATAATTTTGTACGCGATTACAAAACTATATACAAAATAGGATACACTTTTTATTTGAAAATAATTTGATGAGAAATATGGTTTTGAAAATGAGGTTCTTTGAAATTAAATGAAAATTAAGGTTATGAAGTGAGGTATTTTTTTAAAATTGAAATTATAGTCATTGATTGTTAGATCATAGATGTTTATGATAAGTGCATAGGTCCAATATTTGATTTTTTTATTCAATAATTTTGTGATGTTAAATTCTTAGAATTATAGAAAAGATGAATAAATGATTTTTATTAATATATATTTATTTTACATATAAAAAATAAATACATTATATTTAGCGTCTCCTTCAGTGTGTCCGTACCTTCCTTTTTTGGAAAATCCCGTGTCGACGTATCCGTGTTCGTACTTCTTAGGATATAAAGAAGGCAATAAATTGGGGCTATCAAACTTTTTTTGGTACAATCTATAGCTTTAAGGAGTTCCAAATGCTATGTTGAGTTGCTTCGGCGAGTGATGTCTTACAAATTCCATTTATGGAGATATAGGTTGAAAATTTTGGGGCTTTGTGAATTAAAGAAAAAAAAGAGTACAAATTGGTATCTACTTCAATATCCAAAAGTATGTGACATAAGATTAACTTTGATTGATTTAGGGCTTTGATGACAATACAGGGAATTTAAAGGTGGATTCCCTAACAACGGTTTCTGTTGCGAAGGCAGTTGAGAATGGTGTCATGTATTATCCGTATATCTGCCCCTTTCTAACTTTATTTTTTGAGATTGTTCATGCTAGTACGGACCAACCCAAACACATCTTTTCCTTGCTGCCATTTTCTTACAACCTTAGTTGCTATTTGGTATGAGAATCCTTGCTCAAAGCCTGGCATATCTCTCTCTTTCTCTCCCTCTCTCTCTCAAACCTAAAAATCTAAACGAGGTAGAACCTAAGCTTTTTACTAATTAGTTTTTTTTTTACTTTTCTTATTCTTTTTGTTTTTCATACATCTACTTAGCATCCGACCACATAATCTATGACAGCTATCCATATGAAACTCCGATTACTCTATATAAAATTATTTTGTCTTTGTTCATCATTAGTGTCTATCGCTATCTATAGATGGGGAGGAAAACATTTTTTAGTTATTTTAGTGGCGATTTTATTCATTATTTGAAGTGATGTGTGATTAGAGATGACAGTGGACCAGAGGCAAGGCGGGGGGAGTATTCTCCATCCTGTTTCAAAAATATTCGCTCACCCTTGTTAGAGGAGAAAATTTTAATTCCTGTCCCTATTTCGCGAGTAAATTTTGAGCCTTGTCCCCCCTACCGTTCCTGCCATCGTCCCCGTCTATAACAATTAATTTCTATGATTTAAAAAAAAAAATTATAAAACCTCACAAATGATTCTGCAAGAAGGATGAAACTCCATTATATAATAAATGGATAAAAAAAAAAAGAAAGTAAACTTTTTTTTCTAAACAGAAGAATGTGTGTGTGGGTGCGGTTTGTGATATTATATATAGGTTTTAATAAGTGGGTGGGAGGGTGGATGGGGTTTACATATGTGATAATATATATATATCACGAGTTTAGCGAGACGGAGACAAGAATGAATTTTAGTTCATCCCCGCACGGGTTTATACGGGTATCCCTGTATATGTCCACTGTCTAATACGTGTAGTCCATCCCTCATCCAAACGGAGTGGGTTTTAGATGAATACCCCTTTTTTGCCGGTCTACTGACATCCCTAATATGTGATGATTGATTGCATCAAGGTTGTGGTTAAATTTGAATACTCTATCCTTAATTGTGTGTGGGTACATCTCTTTTCAGATTGATTTGATTGAGATAAATTTAATCTTTTCAAATGGAATGGATTCTCTTGGTATAGATAAGTTGAACTCATTGATCTCGTGTAACTTATGTAAAGAGAACTTACATCTCATATTGAAAAATTAGGGGTCACCTAAGGTTGGTTTATATGGTTAAGGGACCTCACCACCAATTACTAATTGGTTTGGAGTTGGATAATCTAACATGATATCAAAGTTGGGTTTTGAGCGGTTTGTTTGTTACTTGTTAGACCGACATGCAAGCTCGGGCCTT